CTCCCCCCTCTCTCTCTGCCCCCCTCTCTCTTTTTAAAGGTCGAAATGACATTGTTGATTCCATGTGCTTCTCTTTGCTATAATAAGCAAAACCCAAAAATACGATCGAACTTGCGGTAGCGACCATTAGACGTACAGACGACCACTTTCCACCTACCCTCTTGCGTTTTTGGTTGTTGGTTTGTTTTTATGGGTTTTTTTCATATTATAATAACTCTGTCCAAGAAGACCAACTGTCAAGATGACCACTGTTCTCCTCAGCAATGGGTGAACGCTGGGGAAAGGTTCAGCCGTTATGTCGGACTAGCGGTTGTGTAGACGCTTACTTACTTACTTACTAGGTCCATGTACCTTCAGGCATATAAGGCGGAGAGCAATCGACGCCACGCTTGTCTGTCCCTGGCCACGTCGTCCAATTTCGGCGCTTCCAGGCCCTGGGCGATTGAATTGCCTCGTTTCTTATTGTGCCTCTGTAGCTTCCAGTTGGTCTACCCTGCTTTCTCTTTCGTTTCCAATAGCACGTCTGATAGGGCAATCTTGTCTTCGGTATTCCTAGAACACGTCCCAGATATCTCCGTCTTCTCCTTTTTTATTGTTGTGTTGATATCTTCAGTTCCTGCTCTTTCCAACACTTCATTATTTGTATTAAATTCATTCCATTTTATTTATTAGTAGAATTCTTCTTAGACATTATGTTTGGAAGCTTTTTGATTTTCGTTGAATTGTTTTGCTTTCCACACCTCTGAACCATTCGCTAATACAGCCAAAATATTGCTTTGATATATTTTAATTTCGTCTTCAATTAGATGATCTTTGATTTTTTGATTTTTTTCTTTCAATTTCACAAAAGCGATCCATGCATTTTTTAGACGCCTGACGATCAAAATTATGACCGGGCGCTCTGCCCGTCCTGCTCAGTTTTGGTCCTATTTTTCCCTCCTCTTAGTTTGGTAATCTCGAACTGTTACAAAGCTCATGGCATCGCAATAATGTGTGTGTTTGTGTGTTTAGGGGGTGGGAGTGTATGTATAATTGTTCGGTTTATTTGTTTGTTCAGGGCAAGGGGGAATAATAAGACAGTGTTAAAAATATTAAAAATTATCTATTGTTCCGACTTCATCGGCTGTTGAAATTGTCCGTTTGCAGTGGTAGGGTTTGATGACTTTTTGTTAGTTTGTCACTTATTTTGTTGGGGTTTTTATATGTTGGCAAGCTTCTAATACATATTTTCCCCCTTTCCACCCGTTATGTCATTCTTGTTTGTTTGTTGTTCAGCACTCTATTAACTGTTTATATGTTCGAGGTGCTTTACTTTAACGTACAAAATCAAAATTCCCAAGAAGAATGAACGTTTTTTTATTTAAAGTTCTTTAAAAAAAGATTTTCTTTATTTCCCAGAGGCCACAGCAAGCCACGCTGCCGTCCGTACCCCAATCACATTCAGGTGAGTTTCTACCTTGAATACGGTTGATTTGATTGGTTTCAAAAGAGATGATCATTGGTCCAATTGTCAAATTGTCCGAATCTGCAGGATCAGATTGAATAAGGTCGGGTATGGAATAATGGTTGTCAGTGCACACTATTTAAAAAATAAAAATAAAAATAAAACCTATCCGTACGTCGTGTTTTACTATCGTATCCA